GGAGCTTTTCATGTGTCAAGGAGCTACTCCTCCTCCCAAATATGAGCACATATGGGTCAATGAGCAAAAACAGACATGGTTTAGGCATAGCACACGCAAAAAATATTATGGAGGGATTTAGAAAGGCAAGGAGAAGACTAATGATGATGATAAAATATTATTATTATGTAACGGGGCGTAAAAATGTGACATTGATGAGTGATTGATGAAGAATAAAATGAAAATATATTTATTTTCTACCCGATCGACCCCCGGTATAATCAATTTATTGTTGAATACATACGTTTCCTTTCCTAGAATGAAATATATATTATTATAAATAGATAGATATATAAATGGAATGGATAGGGAAGAGGGAGAATGGTCATTTTGAATTATTGTTATTCATATGTAAATTGACTGCATTTATTTGAACGTTGAAGAAATATGAGTAACATTTGGCAATATTTTGGGATAAAATACAAAAGGATTTTGGAAGATATCGTTTTTTTTAAATTCTTATTATTAAAATTTCTTGTGTTGAAATAAACACATTTCATAACACTTTCTAGAAAAAAAAACAAAAATTGCACTTTCAAATTCGAAACAACTCCAAAATTGTAACACTTGAATTTAAAATTTTTTGAATTTAAAATTTATTCCTGAAGTTATCGAATTTTGAAACTATTTTTAATAAATTTAAATTTTTAAACACATGTTTTCAATGATGTTCTTGTTACTTTCCCTAGATTCTTATGATCACATCAATTTTATTTTAAAACATCAGAATAATTTGACATCACTTTGAATATTCCATACATTTTTATCTGCAAAAATTTTAAATACAAAGTAAACCTACTTATTGGAATGATATCATCATTCTCTGATTTTTGTGATAGCCAGATTTTTGGGGGCTAAAATTATCGATTTTTCAACATCTTCAGCTTCAAAACTTAGCTAACAGGTTAATTTTTGATCTTTTTTTTTCACTAGATTTTTATGTTAGATGCTTCTCAAACAAGAATCAAGAAAATTCAAAAATCATAAAACACTAATAAATTCCCAAATTTCCAAATTTCTCACAAAACCCAAACAAAACACCAATAAATAAAAAAATCCATGTATTCGTTCCGTCAATTGCCTTTTATTCTTTTCCTTTCTTCCACCAACACCAATATATTTTACAATCGGTTGTTCTCCGACCAACTACTGTGTCGGCGCCATTCACTCTGATCTTTTTGTGTTGTGTTTCTCAATAAAATTTACAACTTATTGTTGGGAATATACATAATATATGTATGTTTTTGTATGTGTAGTTGAGGGTCCAAATACCCAATGGAAAAGACAACAACCCTAAATCATTGTTTTATGAACTGGTCGCCGACTTTTTGGGGAAAGACAATTTTGTTTGGTTTTTAAGGGACTAACAGAAAATACATATTCGAGTGTAATCGAAATATGGACAGTTTTTCATATGCCAACGAGCCACGCTTTGAGGGCTTTTCATATCCCAAGGATCCTCTTCTTGAGACCTTTTATATGTCAAGGAGCCACACCTTGAAGACTTTTCATTTGTCAAAGAGCCACGCCTTGAGAGCTATTCATATTCCAAAGAGCCATTCCTTGAGGGCGTTTCATATCCCAAGAAGCTTCTCTTTGAGGTATTTTCATATCCCAAGGAGCATCTCCTTGGGGGCTTCTGATGTGTCAAGGAGCCACGCCTTGGGGCTTTTCATGTGTCAAGGAGTGGTTTCTTGGCAGATGAAAAATCCTCAAAGCGTGGCTCCTTGACACATTGAAAATCAATCCAAATTTCACGACAAAAATCTTTCTGTCTGCATTTTTCACAAGAAATTCTAACAAATTAGAATTTATTTTTGAAAAAAATTTTCAGAGATTCCAAAGATCCTTTTTTTTCCAATCTAGTTATTTCTGCACTAATCTAAAAATAAATTTTTTTATTTCATTTCAATTTATTTCCTTCAATTTTTGATCACTCCAAACTTTCATACGTATTATTTTCATTTTTTTCCAGTTATCTATTTATGTATGTAATTTCCCAATATCCGTCCCTCGTTTTCATTCTAGTTTTTCCCAATGCACAAAATATAATGATAAAAAATCGTAGGTTTTTTTTTTGAATGCTTGGAATATATATTTTTTATCATCACTAATTTGAGGCAGTACAATCCCAAGAGATTTTGATTTGGATTTTTTTTGTTGGAAAAAACAACCGAAAAATGTAGTCATAGTGATTCACCAATAACAAATTCATTATTCATTTTTGAAGAAAAACAGCGATGCACGGATTTTCAAAAAATAAAGTGTTTCATAAAGAAATTAGATGATTTGGAGAAGATAGGAGTAGTTTTCAGGAAAAATGATTGTGACAACAAGGGATGATTGGGGAAGTATCCCTTTTTCAAGGAGCCGTGTCTTGAGAACGTCTTTGTCAAGGAGCCACGCCTTGGGACTCTACTATACAGAGCTTTTTTTCTAGTTTGCCTTCCCAGATCTTTTTTCATGATGTGATGAAACAAGTTCTCAAACAACACAACAAATAATTGGGTTTACACATGTATTTGTTTCACATTTGAAATGGATCAAATTGCATGGGCGTTAGGTACCTTTTTCTATGTTTTTTGGTGGTATTAATACTAATAATAATCCAATTTGAATGAACAGAGTATATTATGTGTTTTTGTTGTTTCACAGATGTTTTTAATGACCTTACTTTTTTGTAGTGAGTGTGAATGAATGGCTGGATTGAATGAAATAAATAAAATAAAATGAAATGAATTGAGGGGTGAATAGAAAAAAGAGAGGAAAATGTGAAATTTGTTCAACACCTGGACGACTTTGGAGACTTCAGATTTGAAATTGAAGGGGTCGACAAGATCTCGGCTCAAAATCATGAATATAAATTTGGCTCAACAGATTTATCAATGAAAATTTCTGTGGCTTTGTCAAGGAGCCACGCCTTTAGATCTTCTATGTCAAGCATCCACGCCTTGAGGACCAGCTTACCCAATTTTAAGATAAAATCCGTTTTTGATATCAGAACGTGCAGATTTAAATTTCAGTTTCTGAACCTCAAATTCCAATTATTGAAGCCATGAATTGTAACTACATTTTACTCATTTTTTGATTCTTCATATATCAGTTCCAAAAAGTACAATTTCTCTCGAATCTGATATTAGCTAACAGTATAATTAAAAATATTTTCTGAGACAACCTTTAAAAATTTTCCGCTTCCTGATCAAAAACCTTCAAAGTGCCCTTTCAACATGAAATATCTTCCTTCCATCTTCCAAAGCTATAAAATCTTTTTTATATCTAGAAAACAATTTTTTGCAGAAAAGCAGGCAGATTTTTTCCAGACCTTTTTAATTTTCCAAGAGTTATGAAATATTCATATTCATTTTATGAACCCCCAATTGTTAAGTCGTAAAATTATTCATAATTTTTTGACTGGAGGCATGTGACAAGAAATATTCATCATTAGAATATGAATTATAATTAATTGGAAAATCATTGTGATTACGTGGCCATGATTTGCTCTTTCAAAAGTACATTTTTCTGATATGGGAACATTTCCAACGTGTATTTTCGAGTGTGGTGATTCTAATTGTTTTTCCCCTAGACCTATAGCCATTAAACCATTAGCTCTTCAGACACAAAGCACATTTATTTCTCGAAAAATGACATTTTTCAAATTTCGTGCCATATTTCATTAATTTTGTGTGGAATTTTCAATGCTCTATTCTCAATTCTCAAATTTTTTTCGTCGTCAATGGAGAAATAACATCATTTGATAAATCGAAACATTTCGACATTCATGAAATTCGCGAAAATTCCTTGGAAAACATATGAATTTGTAGGGTGTTTTCAGACTATAATTATAGTTTTGAACAAAATTCATAAGTTTGAGTTTGAAATTGGAGTTTGTACTTCTGGAATGTTCAAGATAACAACTGATTCTATTGAAAAATCTACAGAAGGGACAAGGCTTCAGTTAGACTATAATCTAGTGTCTATCATAACCCTAAGATCCTAAGACTTCCTTGTTTTCTTGCAAAACCCTTTATCCAACAAATTCCTTCAATTTCAAATGTAAGGAGGTGTAAATGATTTTTGAGATTTTTCAAGAGGTCCGAAAAAGACTAGAGATATAATAGGATTTCGACTAAAACACATTAACCGAAAAAAAAAGTATTTGTTTGTCTCTTTTTGACAATGAGAAAAACAACGTCTAATCCCCGGCTACCGTAATCAGTATTGGTCATTTTTTGTACTAAATTATTTTGTTTTTCTTGTGGAATGTTTTTGGATCACTTTGGTTATAGAGAAATGAAGAGGTTTTATGGAAAAAAATAGATAAAAATTCAAAAAATACAAGAATTCCTATTAGAAAATCCTGATATTTTTCAAAGTTAGGGAAACTTCAGAAAAAATTGGAAATAACTTGTCGGTTTTTTTGGCAAGGAGCCGTGCTTTATGGGCGATCTTGTCAAGGAGCCATGCCTTGCGGGACACCTTGTCAAGAAACATCTCCTAGTACCAGGACACATTTTCAAGGAGCCATGCCTTGTGAGCTTTTTTGTCAAGAAGAAGTACCTTGTAGAACACCTTGTCTAGGAACAGACCCTAGTAGTAGTACCTGTCAAGGAGCCATGTCTTGTGGACTTTCTAGTCAAGAAGCAATGTCTTGTAGATCAAATTCTCTAGCAGCAGTTCCTTATGGAGAATTTTTCACTAGAAGACGTGCCTTGTGAACCTTGTTCAATTTTTTGTGAAACTCGTTTTTAGCTTTACTTCCAAATCCTTTTATTCTCTCAAAACCTTTTTACAGATCCATTTGTGAAAAAATAATCTTGTTCATTTTTTTCAAAGCATTTTCCGCGACAAAAAAAGGGGGCCGACCGACCAAAAGCTTTCTTTTGCTCCCCCCTCTCGGCGGAATATTTTCGCTATATCCAAAAGACGGCTCCGCCCCTCAACTCTTCATTCATTGCACCAACATGTCCTTCCAGCTCACGCTGTTCACCGTGCTCCTCATATTTATCGCTATTGTTCTTGGTAAGGGCTGATTAAGGAATAATTAATTAATTATGATTTTCAGGACAACATGTTGGCTCCCAACCAGACTCGGCTGAAAACGAAGCTCTGCTTGCTGCAGATGCTGACGAATTCAACTCGTTGATGGAGTACCTTCAAGTGAGTTTTTGAGATAATGTCTAACATGAGTAATATTTTTTTTGAAGAAAACCAATCCGAACGCGGTGAGAAGTATGCAAAAACGTTGGGCAAACCAAGTGAGATTTGGAAAGCGCGCAAGTTGGGCCAGCTCGGTGCGATTCGGATGAGATCGCAAAATCCGAGGAGGATTCCATTTATCAATCACAATGTTAACACAAAACAAAATCTAATAAATATTATAAATGAATTATGCAACATACCTATGCAACATCTTTTAATCTAATCAACATCTGATTTCGACAGCAACATACTACATACATCACATTTGTCTTCTCTTCTCGATTATTTTTGACTTGACTCTAACTTCATTTTTTTTCTTGCCATGTGTTTTTTCTTTGATTTTTTTATTGATCCACATACATTATTATACAATTCTGTTATTATTTATCCACCCAACACAACATTTTACCCCAAACCGCACAGTTTTTTACCAAAACTGAATTTTTATTTGCTTTTTTATGAATGATTAGCAATAAAGTTTTGCAACTTGTTAAAAATTTTGTGAAATTTTTTTTGGGAGAATAAAAAACAATGAGTTGGTTAGGAATTCTGGAAATAGTTTTTGGTTTGGTGAAAACAAGAAAATATTTTCCAGAGTTTTTTTTCGCATTCAAAATTATATTTAAAAAAATATGTTATGAGCCTAGAGCTCCAGATTCTGAAAATGCTCCAAATTAATCCAGGGCTCAAAAAGTTCTAGAATACATTTTTTAAAATTTAGAATTAAATCTGAACTAGAGATTTTTTAAAATTTTCAAAACATAGGGTTTTTCAGAATGAATATCTGAACTAAAGAATTTCAAACCTCAAATCTGAACTTGAATTTTTCGAAATTTTATTGGAGTTTTATACAAATTAAAAAAGGTTTTTCAAAAACTCAATTAAAAATTAATGTATTTAAAATTTCAGATCATGTTTTTCAAAATTCAAGAGCTCTAAAACTTGGCTCCGCATTCCCATAAAGAATTTTCAACCAATTCCAGAAAACGTTTCCTTGTTTCAAAAAACCACAGATCTATGTAGTTCTATTTCCGGCCAAAATCTTCCTTCCGGTTCACACTTTTTTTCTCTCCCACCATTTCTTCATTTGATAACGAAACACTCGACTCAAAAACCAAAACTCATTAGAATATTCTGGATTTCTTCTGACAAATCTTTTACTCGCAAAACACATGAATTTGAGCGGGGTTTCCGGTTGTGAATTTTAATGAGTGATGAGGGTCAAAGATGAGAAGATGAAGAAGGAGAAAATTGCAGCGAAATCAACAACTATTTCATTATTCTATCGTGTAATGAATTTGTTTTGTGAATTCATTTAAAAATGTTGATAAATTTTGTTGATCTACATAATTTTCTCAATGGGGAAAATTGATTTTTTGAACTGAAATACAGATTTTTTCTGGAAAAAAAGTTGAATACATAATTTCAAATCTCATGTTTCCGAGTACGGTATAACTCTGCATCTCTGACTTTATTTTGAGACGCAGAGAAACAAAGTCTAAGGCTCTTTTACAGAATGAATTTCAAGAATATTTCCAAGGATTTTTTTCGCATTTTGTTTCTGATTTCAATGATTTTCCGATCTCTGAAGCCTAATTTCAAAAAAAAAATTTAATTTCGGTTAATTTTTTAATACCAAGAAAAATTCAGAATTAATCTGAAACACAATTTTTTCAGACTTCCGGAAAACAAAGTTCTCTCTCTCCTAAATGATATCATTTTCTCGCACTTTCACAGAATTTCATCACAAATTAGTTTCGTGCGATCTGTCGAAAGAAAAAAAATCGAGTATAAAAAATTGGAAATTTGATCAATTACAGTTGACTCAAATTTCTTGCTACGCATCGCGTAGCAAATTCTCATTTTACCACTCTCATTATAGGAAAAATAACGAGAAGAAGAAGAAGTGTTTGAGTTGGATAGAGGAGAGGAAAATTATGATGATGATGATGATGGTTTTTTTTCTCACTTGCTTTTATTATTTTCAGGAGGATTTTTCACATTCTATTCATTCATAATACAAATGAGGAAGGAGGGAAGGAGAAAAAGTAAATAAGAATTTGAAAAAAAAACAAAATTAAAATTGCACTAACTTCAGGCGGGGGAGTTAGCCTAAGTGCGGACTTGTGGAAAAAAAATCAGACCTGAACCATTTAGAGAATTTCTTTGGAGGTCTTCGAATTTGGATAAGATCTAATTAATTGGGCCGAACTTCTATTCTGGACTTCTATTCTGGAATTCTACTTTCAAAATCCTAAAATTTAAATTCTAGAGTGGCCCAAACCAAACCCGGACCTTTTCAAAATCCATGAATTTTGTCTCTTAAACTTCCGGGTTACAAGAGCATCATAATTCCTAGAGCAAAGAAATTGTTTTGTTTTTTTTCGCAATAAAAAAATGAATATATTAATCATATTTATTTATATATTACAAAATGTGTATCAGCGGGTGAAAAGTGAAATTTTTTGGGGATTTTTTGATATTTAACAAAAAAAAACATAGAAAAAAAATTGAACAAGTAAAGTTATGCGTAGATGAAAGATTGTACATAAAAAATGGGAGGACTAGAAAAGTATGAATTCAATAATTAATTTCAAAAAAACAGTAGCACCACGTAAAAAAGTGTGATTATTAGGCCAATTTTGATTTAACGATTGATAAGCTCTCTGACTTCTTGGAATGAGCAATAAAGGTATTCGACTAATTTTTCTTTGTCAAATGTGTGATAAGATGAGCCAAGTTTTGATGACATATCGATAAGGCGATTATTATACCCATCCATTCTAGATAAAGCTTCTCTGAAAAAAAACATTTGGAATTATCAGGGGGTATTAATTCTGGTATAGATAAAAATCTCAAAAATATACATACCTGAATCTAAATTTACTATGCGGCGAAATCTGTTCACCATAAACCGTGCATTGTGAATGGAACTTCTTCACAGTGTCACAAAGACGAATAAGACTTTGAACAACTTGTTCAGTTGGTTGATTATCGAATATTTTTCCTTTGCAAACAAACACAATTTCCTCCAATTTTTCACCGAGTTTCAGAAGACTTTCTTTGTTAACAGTTTCATCATCGATAGATTCTTCGGGTAGAACAGCACGACGTCCTCCTCTTGGTGGTGGCACCATGAATGGGCGAGTTTTTTGGCTGGAATCGGAATCTAGCATTGAGAAGCGTTTGGCAGATTTGCGTTCGATGACGTTTTCGCGATATGGGACTTCTGAAAATAAAAAGATTTAGATTTTAAGAAAAAAATTCGAAAAAGATTTGACAATTTATCTCTTGATTGGTTTTTGCGCGGATGAAAAGTGCAGTGCTCCCAAAATTTTTGTGCAGCGTGAAAATTTTTTCAGAATATTTTCATCAAAATCCGCTGAAAACCAATGCATACTTCACTTTTTCGTGAAAAAGATGTGCAGTGAAATGAAAAAAAATTTGAAAATTTTTATTAGCTTCCCGCCCGAATGGAAATTTTGGTTTGGGCGGGAATTTTTATTTGAAAATTTTTGTACAGTATCCTTTTTGGACACGTCTCGTCAGGCGTGGGAGTGCTTAAAATATTTTAAAAAAAACTTTAGGGAGTTACTTAAAGTTGAGGTCAAATAATTTTTGGGTTCAAAAAAAATCTGAAAATGAAATTTGATGAAGAACAGAATAGAATATTAATTTTCAAAAACTCTGACCAAATTCTCGAAAAAAAAATATTTTAAACAATTTCCTCCCAGATCTAACCTTCAGAACTAACCTTCAGTTTTTGGGGTACTTGTATCTGCTGCACCAAGCTTCTCAAATTTACTAGTAATATCTCGAAGTGATTGAGTTCTATGCATTCCAGTTGTCTCATCCTCCAAAACAGTTTTCTTCCCATTTACTTCATTATTATTCGCCTTGAATCTTTGCAAAGTACTAAAATGCGGTGGAACTGTTGGCTCTTTCGTTTGCATCGAAGATGTCGATGATGTTGCTGAACTTTCATGTTTGTCCAAAACTCCCGAACTTGCTGAACTGTTTGGACATTGAAGTGAAAATGGGCGATGTGGTTGGAAGGGGAAGACTTTTTGTGTGACGAGTTGACGGATTCGTGCTTTGTCTGTTGGAACAGGCTCTTTCTCGTCTTGCAGAGAAGTTTCTCCACTGCTGGATTGTGGCTGCTCTTCGGATTCTCTTGAAACGTGGCGGAGGTTTCGGATTTTTGCTTTCAATTCTCCCTCGGCATTTGGTGCTGGTTCATTCTGAAATACATCAAAATTTGAGAAAAAAAACTCAGAGGGGAAATCTAATATTTTTGACATCTATTCATTTGAAAAACCCGTGAAATTTTCAATTTCCCTCACCTTAACGACGTCAATTTTCCTGGTAACCGCTTGTTTTGCTCTCCATGATCCACCTCCGGTAATTTCCGGCTCAGAATGTTCTTTGGATTCGTTCAAAACAGAAAATGAGGAGTTTGGTGATGGCGAAACAGGCGACGGACTTTTCCCTTGTTTTTTCGACATCGACTCGGTTGGTGATGATTTTTTGTTCAAAGATCCGAAGAGATTTGTTGGACTTTTGACTGGTTTTGGTGCATTCATAGAATCTGAAAGTTATTTTATGTTTCCGATTTGATTAATCAGGAATTTTTAATAAGAATGACTTACCATCCGGTGTATCCGAATCAACATTATTTGATGTTTCAATTGGTTTTTTGAGCTTCGAGCGGATTTGCTGAAAAAAAAAACAATTTGTTTAGAAGATCATGAGTAGAAGAGAGATGTTGATTAAAAAACTGAAAATCTAGATTCTGAACAAAAATTTGAACGTGGCAAAGTTCATAAAGTTGTCACTAGCTCCAGAAATAGTTTCAGATTTCAAATTTTTCCTGAAAATGTTTTTCTGAAATTGTAAAGGAATCTGTTGAAGAAATACATTTTAATTTAATTTTTTTTCAATTATTAAATATTGCCAAAGTGGATTTTTGTAGATTCTGACAATATAGATCCGATATTTTTTAATCTTAAGTCCTTATCAATGAAATTATTAAAAACCAACCTTCAAAAATGCATTTTCACCATTTCCACCACTAACAGATCCAATCTTCACATAAGCACTCGAATTCATCGAATCCGGCAATGGCAACGCATCAAGTGAATCATCCGACACAGTTCGACTCATCGAAGATGACCCGGCTCCTTCGGTGTCCGCATCAGTTCCATCTTTCCATCCGGAAGTCTCACTTTTCCGCAAAGAATCGAGATATGCATCGATTCTTTGACCTTTCGGCATTGTTCCACCTAATCGACTCACTGCTTTTCTCACATTCTTCTCAGCAAGCGGTGTGATTTCCTCGTGTTCTGCAGAGAAATTTATTTGAGGAAGGGATTGACAAGAATAAAGTTACCTTCAGATTTCGAGCTGATATGTTTTGCATTGGTGTTGAGAACTGATTTCAATAGTTTGGGTTTAGCAGCCTGCTAAAAAATATTGATTGGAAAATGTTTAGGAAAAAAATAAAGAATTTCTTACATGTGGTGGGAGTGGTAGTTGTGATCTAGAGTTGAGAGGTGAAGCTGCGCCATTATCACGGAAGGATGACATCTGGAAAAAAATTAGAATAATTTAGGATAAGGTTTCGAAAAGGTCATCTGTTAAAGACTTCTGGAGAAATTTTGAATAGATTCTCTCACGTTTATCAGAATTTTTCACCCAAAAATAATAGAAGCTTACCGTCATTTCACTCATATCCGAATTCGAGTTTCTCGAAATCGAATGAATCATATCATTATGAATATTATGCCCGTATTTATCATAAGTACTACTTCTTGACAACGAATCATTAACCCGTCCATTCGATCGTCGTTTATCTCTCGAAGAATTCTGCTGCAAAATCTTGGCAACCTCCTTATCCACATCACTACCATTCTGATTATTCATCGTCTCCAAATTCGAATGAATATCCCGGAATCTTGGACGATCAGATGGTGACCAATTCCAACATTGAAGCATCAATCGATAAACCGATTGTGGACATCCAGTTGGTGCATCCATTCGAAAACCTTTTTCGAGTAACCCGTAAACATTTGATAATTCAACACCTGGATACGGCGCCATTCCATATGTTGCGATCTCCCATAACAGAACTCCAAATGCCCAAACATCACTTTTTGAGCTGAATGTATTAAATGCTAGTCCTTCTGGAGCAGTCCATTTGATTGGGAATTTTGCGCCGGCATGTGCTGTATAAGTGTCTTCTCTCATAAAACGAGCCAATCCAAAATCAGCAATTTTGACAACATTTTCAGGGCCAACCAGACAATTTCTAGCCGCCAAATCTCTGAAAAATATGTTTTTTTCAAATAAAATTGATAATTCATACATTTTTATTATGACAAGTAAACAGAAAACATGAAATTAAAATTCAAATTCAAATTAATTAGTGGTGATGATGATGATGGTGAAATGGGTTCATATGGTGCATTAAACCGTGTCTATGAGAATGCCGGTGAGATTCTTCCATAACAACAACTTGTGGTTGAGCAATCATCGGTTGGACCATCGGGGCAGCAGGCATAATATTTGGTTGAACACCGTAACCAACTCCCATTGGGTATGCAGTTTGAGGAGGAGGATGATGTGGATAAGAATTATTCATATATGGATTGTAGTTGCAGGCCATTATTGTAGAAATCACAAAAGTGAGTAGGAAACTGATAAGAAACGATGAATGAGTGAGGTGTTATATAGTTATTTTTGACGCTGATGTCTTGTGTAAACATTTCAAGTGTTATGAAAGCTCGAAAGTTCAATGAGTCATAATCCCAGAGTTTTTTGATATATCGATATTGTCAAAAGTTATGGGAAAAGAAAATGATAACTTTTGCTAATAAGGTTGTTAATCATTTCGATAAAAAGAAAGTTAAAAAATCAGGATGAATTTTGAAAAATTGAATTTCAGATAATATTCAGCGTAGTCGATTTACTCAAATAGCATCAGGAAAAAACTTTTGATTTTGGAATTTTCATCCGAAAAATAAAAATTTCCAAAATTTTTCAAAAGTTTTTTGTTAATCTACTTCTAGTAAATCGACTATGCTTATGAATTTCTGAAATTTTATTTTTAAAAAAAATTCAGAAGAGCATTTTTAAAATGAGCTATGATATCTGCCAGGGCTCATTTTAGGCATTTTTTGACTCCAAGGTCGAAAGTCGGATCATCCAAAAAACTTTGCGATTCTCAAAAAATCATTAAATTTTAAGTGTTGGGTAGAAAAAGTTCCCTTGTTTTTCCATTCAGACAGCATGAAATTTCTGATCATCAAAATTCAGATTTTTATAAAATTCCGGAATTCCCTATGAATCATTATCAAATTTCACAATTTTAAACCGATGAGTCATTCATTCTAAAAGATCAAGACCATAATATTTTTCTCGAATGTTTACACAAGCCGCAATCAAAAAATAACTATATAACACCTCAATCGCTCTCATTTCTTATCAGTTTTATATTTTTCTCTGCTTTTCAACTACACAATGGCCTACAATTACAATCCATATATGAATAATTCTTATCCATATCCACCTCAAACTGCATACCCAATGGGAATGGGTTATGGCGTTCAACCGAGTGTTATGCCTGTTGCGGCGCCAATTGCGGCACCAATGATTGCTCAGCCGCCTGTTGTTGTTATGGAACAACCATATTACCATAATCATCATCATCATCACGGATTTATGAGTCACTTAAATCCCTTCCATCATCATCATCATCACCACTGTTAACTCTTCATAGATCTTTTAATTTTTTGTAAATTTATGAAACTTGTATTTTTTCTAAATAAATTTCTTTTACCAACGTCACTTTTCCAACAAAAAAAATCTTTGATCTTTTTTATGACATACCTATGAATAAAGTGCCGCGATTCTAAATATGCCATTCCAGATGCAATTTGTGTGGCCATTTGGATAAGTATAACAGGTGGCAGGTAACTTTTATCGGTTTTTCTGAAAAAAACATTAGTTTTTTTTCTCAAAATTGTCAGCTGTTACCTCAAATAATCCAATAAATTTCCTCTTGACATATATTCAGTGATGATGAAAAATGGAGCTTCTCTTGTGCAAACACCAAGCAATCTGACAAGATTTCGATGATTCAAATCTTTCATAATCGCAGCTTCGGCTAGGAAATCGTGAAGGGGCATCGCGTCTTCTTTCAAAGCTTTGACAGCAACTGTGGTTCCGTGACGCTTCCAGAAGCCTTCGTAAACATCTCCGTATTGTCCACCGCCGAGTTTATTGTGCATTATGATCTCTTGACGATCGATTTCCCATTCATCGGATTGGGTTGGAGATAAGGAGAAGACACCGCGGTTTTTGTCTTTTTTGTTTGCAGCATACATCAGGGTGCCTGAAAAATAGTGGTTTTGAGATTTTGAAAAAGATTGATCCAGTTGAAACACATTAATTTTATCAAGCAGGTTTCGGGAATCAAATCAATATTTTCACCTTCAAAAAAATCAATAACTTATTGTTAAACCTAAAAAAATATGTTTTTGGAAATTTAGAAAATTTTTGGGTATTTTCCAGAAATGTTCACAGTTGGAACTTTTCAAAAAAATTTTCTTTTGAAAATGTTGAGAAAAGCATTTTGAATTTTAATTTTCAAAAATTCACCGAAAGGCTAGAATCAGTTCGGATAGTATTTAAATAAATTCAGATCTCCAGAGGTGTTTTTATGAGAAACATCTGGAGCTTCTGAATCCCTGGATCCGAATTTTCTGAATCCCTGAATCCGAATATTCTGAATCCCTGAATTCGGATATTCTGAATCCCTGAACTCTACTAGAAACTAGATTATTTCTCGAAAGAAAAATTGAAAATGAAACTTGATTCAAGAATTTTGAAAAAATTGGATCAAAATCTTACACAATATAAAATATTTCGAAAAGTTTTTTTGATACAAAAAATTGGAAAAAAATGTTTTGATATGTTCCGAATCAATTTTTTTATTGTAAAAATAATGTTTTTTCTCTGAATCATCCGATTTTTTCTCAGAAAAATAAAAAACTTACAAATCAATCCATCTGCATGCACACTGTGGTGATGAATAAGTTCAGCTAAGCTCTTGAATTTGACTTCTTGAGTGATAAAATACCGTTCCGTATGATCAACATTAATTCGATAATGATAAACACGTCCATCGTGTCGAACCGAAATCGAATATTGTCCAATACTAGTCTCCGATTCTCTAACAAGAAACGATCCCGTAATTCCACTTTCCAATATATATTCCGAATCGCTACGCGAAATTTTACCATGATACCACGTATATTTATCCAACGAATTGAAAGGCGCTATAAAATTGCTGGGCACCCAACCAATTTGTCCGACTCGTCGTTGACTACTCGCATCACTACGTCGCGATGAATACAAACGAGCTTCACACCATTCGCCAGTTCGATTATAACCAAGTACCCGAATTTGATCACCCTTTCTTAATGACAATTGCTCTTCGCCGACACCGTGAAAATCATAAAGTGCAATGAATATTGGTGTCGTTGACGATGACGACATCATACTATTCATTTCATCTGCGTTGTTGGATTGGTGTAATAAGGAATTTGTTGAACTGCATGCCACAAGATCCTCTCTGCAAAAATATAAAGAAATTATTGTGTGAAAATGTTAAGATGTGAATGTTGAAAGTGAGGCAACGGCGTGGTTCTGGCCGGTTTGAATCAAATAAAATGAGCGGCGCGATACCGGCTGGAAAATCAGGGCTTACAGATTTAAAGAAACGAACGCCAGATCAATATATACTCTGTGATCTACCGGCCTAATAATTTGAAATCGGATAGAAAATCGGTGCTGATTTCGGCTTCGAGTCGATCTCGGTTCAAAATTTCGTTCATTACCGATAAAAATATGGCACGGTATGTGGAAAAGCTCTCACAAAACCGATTGAAAAAGCGATAGGAACACGGTTTATAAAATTCGGCTGGAAATTTAAATCGATATTTGATTAAAATTTAGCACAATATCGGCTAGAAATTGGGACCAGATCGATCTCAAAATTCTAAGAGCTACCAGTTGAACCTTCGATTCCGTATCGGCTCAAAAATTCTGCTGGAAACCGGATAAAAATCGGTTTAGCTCCGGATTCAAAATCAGCTCAAAGTCGGCCTATGAATGGCTCAAAATTGTTTAAAAATTGTCAAGACGGCTCAAAACTTCGAATTCCAAATTTCAGAGCTCGGCTCAAAAAATCGGCTGCAACCCGGCGCCAAGCCATTACCACACTATACTAGTATTCATATATGCACAAAAACAAAACAACAATATCGAAACAATTGACAAATAAACATACATATACGAAGAGAGCGGAAAATTGAGGGGAAAAAAATGAATGGGAGACAGGGACAGGACGTGTTGACGACAGATGATTCATGAATATACTATGAGGAATTTTCCAGGGGGGAAAAGAAGGCTAGGTAGGGTTATTCATTTTTTTGCACTTTAGCGTCCATTATAAAAAATTGGACACGGGGGAGATGAGATTTCCCTCTAATATGGAAAATGTTTTCAACATTTTAAAAATTTAGATTCAAAATTTTATCACAGACAGAAAAAAACATAAATTTTCGGTGATCAATATAATTTATGACCATCAAAATTTTGACACCATGAGATAGGCAGCGAGAGAGTGTGGGTCTTGGAGAGACACAGAGAGAGTAGAGACGGTATTTTGGGAAGATTTTCTTGATCGCGTCTAATCGATAATGTGACTTACCCTAATTAGTATTATGGAAAAAATATTTTTAAAGAGAGTGTGGGAAGTGAAGAGAGTACAGATTTTTGTGAAATTTATCTTGGTCCCAATAGAATATTGTGCACTAAAAAATGAGCAGATGGTTCATTGAATTGGAGAAGAATTGAATAATGAATTCATGGATTTTTGTGTGGAAAATAATTAGATCTCAAGTTTTCCCTGAATGAAAATTGGGAAAAAAACCAACAGAAAATTGAAAGAGTTCCAAAAAAAAATTTTTTTTCAATGTCAGTTTCAAAAAAAAATTAAATATTAATTCCACTCAACTCCTAACTCACAATGAATCAATTGTAGCGCTGATGAAAAAAATGCTCTCCGCCAATTTCTGATGTAAATAGTGGATTGGTGCCAATTGTGAGGTGGTGGCAGATGGTAAACTTATTGTCGAAGTCGACCAGGTTGTCTCACTAATTTTTTTTGCTGGCCAATTTGTTGACGATTTTGATTTGTGACGTCGACGAGGAAGCACTTTTTTTCGTCGCTTTTTTAAATCAATCAAATCACCGAAGATCATTCTTGATATTTTTTCAGGAAAAAATTTGTAGATCAAAAATATATTGAATAAAAAAATAATAGAAAGTTCAAGCTCGACAAAAGAATAAATTCGTGCGAGAATGAGTGATGTGAGGCCGGCTGTTCATCAACAATAAAGTGAAAAAGATTTACACATTTCACACAAATATGATTTATACACCTATCATCATTAGATTGATGATCATCTAGTGGCCGGCCAAGAAAATCTGTGAGCCATTATTTTTTTTGGGAAAAAAGTTTGGGTAGGTGTTCAATCTTTGTCACTTGACATGTTTCTACGGGTGTCCAACTCTGATTTATTATGTATCTCTTCTGCTGTTCGAGCTCATATATTATTTTCTGGCGAGTTTTTTCTGTGACAAACAAATATGTTTAATAGATTGTTCAAAATATAAAATGAGAGAAAATCCGGAATTTTTGAGGCGAATAAGAAGCTGCTTTGAATTTTGGAAAACTATCTCAATTAAGATCAAAATCTAAAATTGTATTAAAATTTGACTGTAATTCTGAAGGTCTGTAACTCATCAGTACATAAATAAAATTTTCCAAAATCTGAGAATAGGACGTTGCTCAGGTTAATAGAGTTACTAAAAGAATAAGTTATTTTTTAAAAATCAATTTTTCTGAAACAATAAATCATAGAAATTAAAATTGAACACAAATTTTATTTTGAAAATTTATAAATTTATAATTTATCTTGCCCTTTAAATTTAAAAAAAAAAATTTTAAAAACTAAATTTCAAAAAAAAACAGAATATTTTTTTCAAATATCTCTGAATTTTTTTTCGGAAATGATAGTTCGTAAATCAACCACCCCTGAACGATTTTTTCCTCGGAAAATTGAATTCCAGGTGAGTTTCAGATCTTTACAATCACTGAAAATATTGATTATCAGCTCGAATTTACTCAAAAAAAAATTTCTATCAAATGAAAAATCTAGTAGATCAAACTCCATACGAAAAAAAAACACAAAAAATTCACTAGAATATGCAAATTCTCTCCATGTTCAATTTATTCTGGACCTAATTCCAAGTTCAAAATAAAATTGAATTAAATAGAAAATTTATTTCGAAAGAAAAGTAGTAAAAAGAGTGCAAAAAACTAGTTTGTTTGATATTAGGATAAAGTTGAGTTGATAGTAGTGTTCAATCATTAATTAAACATTTTGAGATGAGTGGGAGATTTAGACAAAATGCAGAAGAAAAAAAACTGTTTGACTTTCAAACTTTGATGAAACAATTTAAATTCATGGAGAACAGAAAACTGAAAAAACCGGAAACTGTCAAATAAAATGGCACAAGTTATGAAGTTTTTTTTGCCATCCAAACAAAGTTCAACTAGATTTCAAGTATACCTATCAAGCAAACATCAAAACTACCAAATATAGAGAGGGTGAAAGCGGAAAAAGACAATAGTGAGAAAAAATGTGCACCGACCGACGGTTTTTGCTTCTTCTCCTTCTTTCTTGTGTATATATTATTATTTGTTGCGCGAGAACGATTTGAGAAATAGAAAACAATAGGAGACGCAGATGAAAACGACAGGCAGAGAGAACGGGGGGATAAATATTATTATTTATATTGCTCACCCGTGTGAGGAACAACACAAGAAAATGAAACAAATGATTTTGGTGTCTGGTGAGAAGGAGAAGAAAGGAACACCACAAAATGCCTATTATTATTTGTCTCTGGCGATTTACATAACATTCTTTTGAAGTTTATATACTTTTTAGGCGGCATGTAAGAAAAATGAAAGGGGCTTCAGAGAGTCGAGCTTAGGGCCGGGCTTATTCACAAAATTCTTGGTGAGCTTCCTGGAAACCTTTTTAAAAGTGGACTCTAACATAGAAATCGATTCATTTGGATCTCCTGGTTGAAAAAATCCATTGGAAAATTCTCATAAAAATTGGAAACACAGCTCCAAATTCTTGTGAAATTTCATGCCATTTTTCCTTGTTTTTTCGAAATTTGAATTTTTAAACTAATTTTTGAGAAGCTTCTAGAAAAACCTTTGATCTAGAATATGCTTTTTCAAATGAGCACAACTTAATTTTTGCTCAGACTCCACTTTTAATAAATCAATAAATCAATCACTCAATTGCTCAGGTTATAAATTTTTAGTATAAAATTCCAATTCTGTATTTTAAAGCCTTGGTTATTCTTGCTTGAAGAAACCTTTTTTCAGAAAAAAAATCAGAAGCCTCTCTCAAATCCCCTAAAAATATTTGAATCACTGGAAAATTACATGATCACATCAGCACAGCAAAAAAAACCAAACACGGATAATTAGGAAAAACGGACGGACACAATAAACAAATACACAAAACAGACTTGTCTCAACACATACGTACCTGCTATTTCGGAACATTGAGCTGTCATTATTGAACGTTCGAAATGTGTCAAGTGAAGCTGGTGGACGGGACATCTGAAATCCGAGGAAAATGTTATGGATTGGTGATGATTAAGGTTGGGAGATCAGAATTTTTGATGTGAAATCATAAAGTTCAATTTTAAAATGAAATGAAGAAAATAAGTAATAAAAGATTTATTTTTGAGAAAAATTTTGAAAAAAAATCTTTAAAAAATAATTTCAAGTTCAAATTAACAACTTTTTAGAAAAGTTTCAAAACTCGATATTTTTTTCAAGAATTTCAAAGGAATTTTTTTCAGAAACCAAATTTAAAGAGGGTTTTCAGCAACAAATTTTATTAAAAAAATTTATCACCAAATTTTGAAAAAAAAAATAAAACTTTTCACAGTTTCCAGAAATTCAAATTTTCAGCTGTTCCACTTTTTTCACAATTTTTTTCTCAAAATTTTGAACTTGTAAAAATTCCCCCAGCAAAAAAAGCAACCCACCTCTGACTTTGAAATTGGCAATTTGAGCCCCGTCACGGCCCACTCGTTTGAATCCGAAAAATTGTCGCCGGCTGCAAAAAAGAAAAATGAAAAATCACCTTGTTTTATGAGGTATTTTGTGATAATAATAAGAATAAAAATAATATTTCTGGCGTCGTAATTATTATCAGGAAATAATAAAAATTATGTATTTGAATGAAACATACACACACACACAAAAAATGTTGAAAATGTGGATTTTTTACAATGAGTGGAGAAGATTCTTGACACAGTTTGATTTAATTTTGTTTATTTTTGAGAAAAAAAATGAAGAATCGAATTAGATTAGAGATAATGTGAAATGAAGAGATTCCAGAGAAAAAAATGGAATTTTTTTTAACAGAGATTAGGGGTTTAGAAAGCGTTAGAAGGCTTTAGGGGCTTTCAGAAGGTTTTGGAAGGCTTTAAAATCCACCAGAAGGCTTCAGTAGTTCATACAACTGAAAATTCCGGAAAGAGCATTTTTTGCAAAGTCAAAATTCACTAAAAACCCCGTCATAAAGTACAGAGGTTAAGTATATCATTGACAAGCCCAAGAAAAAAAGAAACACTCAAGTATAACAAAAAAAGATAAGATCAAGTTAACTCATAAGTAGTGCAGGAACATAAATATGTACCTCCCAAGTCAAAAAAAAGTGCTCACACATGAAACAATGCACGGCCTTTTTTCTCTATTTCTCTACCTCCTATAATATTTACAAAAGAATTGGACCACACCCTTAGCGATGCGATGAGTCGGAGTCTGCTACTAGCTAACTACTAACTAAATTTTTTTTTCTCGTGTTGATCTGCAAATATTGGGAACGACTGACTGACGGGAAACGAAAGCCAAATTACATAGATAACATCGTGGGAGGGAAAAAAAGAGAACTTCAAAGAAATTGTGTTCTTGGATTTTTGGGAGGGGGAGTTAAACTAGTTCTTTTGTGGTATTATAGATTTCCTAACCTTTTTTAAATGAAATGAAAAATTTGGGAATGTTTAAGAGAAGTAGAAAATTTGTGGGAAAAATATCAAGAAAAAATCTGGAAGCCAGACGTTTCCCACAATTATCCCAAAAAATTTCAGATCAGAACTTTTATTTTTTCCACAGCGTAGGGTCCGAAAGCTTGATTTCAGCAGCAAAATTTAAAAAAATAAATTTTGAAAAATTTTAAAAATTGAATTAAATTTAATAATCACTTTTTCAAAAAAATTGAACAATTTTTAAAAAAATATTTTTCCGATTTTTTAATTCGTTGGTTGAGCTCATTTAATAATTAATTTTCTATTTTCAAAACTTCTAATTAGAAAAACTCAACTAATTAATGAATTTGCTTTTCCCAAAAAAAAAGTTCATCAAGTTCAAACATTGTTTATTTTATTCTTTTTCATTTCGAAAAAAAAAACTTTGATCTGATTTCCTGGGTAGAATTTCGAGCTTTGGAATTTGAGATGTCCCTTTAAAAAACCTGTAAGTTCAGTTTAAACTACACTATATTTAAAAAAAAAACTGAACTTCAGCAGTTGAAAAATAAAATTTAAAAAAAAATGTTGAAATCGCTGAGTCACCCAACAAAAAACAAGGAAGAATTTCGAAATCCCTCATTCCAAACAAAAAACACATATACAACAAATTTGTCTCTAAAAATGGTGTCTGCAATAAAAACGACAAGTGTTGTATTTCATTTGTATTCTATTCTTTCATGTGGTTTTTTTTTCTTCTGGTTGTGTCCTCTTTGCTAATTGAATCGACACAGAATGGAATAAAAAGAAGAAGAAGAAGAAGGACAGAAGTGCTTTTTCTTACTACTTTTTTGTTTGGATTTTTTGGAAGTAAAAGAGGAAATAGAAACAACAACAACACAAAACTTTTAAGTTTTTTAAGTTAAAACTTTTAAAAAACATTTTCCGGTAGATCAAAAATATTTTAAAATTTCTTCAGATGAATTGATTCATTAGTCAAATTTTGAAAATTCAAAAAAAAATTTTTTTGAATATATATTTTAAGTTAACTAAAGCCTGATTTCATGACCGAAAATTCCCCAGGCGAATTGCCAAAAAAGAAAATAAAAATCAGGAATAGAAATTGCGCAGTGAATAGGCAAACCAAATTTAATCCTATCAACACTGCGTGTATACAACATCATAAAAATGTTTCAAAAACAAAATCAAACATAATTTCTTTGTGGCAAAATAGGGTTTGGATGCGATTTTTTACCACCCATGCAGAAAATTAAACTTCCAAGGTCGTAAGATTGTTCCAAAATGTGTGAAAGTTAGTTGCCTCTGAATAATAGCCCTATTATTTCATTTTTTCTATGATTTTTCTAGTAGGGGAAACCTGCAAATCTAACTCAAGCATGCTCCTTTAAAAATATAAATTTAATCAGAAAAAAGTGTGAAGAAAAACATATTCAGAATTCTGAATAATTCAAAACTACTAGTCAAAAAACGGAATTTTTTTTTCGCTTCGAAAAACAAATAATGAAATTGTGTTGTATAGTATCAAATTTTTCTATATACATACATTTTTATATTTTGAAAACTGGAATTTTTTTTGATACAAAAAATGAAATGTGATTATGATGAAAATAACAATGGAAAATTTTTGTTAGGAGAAAAATTGAAATTGGATTTTCGAGAAAAAAAGTAGATTGGACCAAGTTGGAGTAGTTAGCCTAACTTTTCCAGATCTTGAAAACCAGGAATTTTCTCTTCTGAAAAGGGCTTCTGAAAATCGGAGCTGGGCCAATCTTTTTTCAAAAAAAATTCAGAAAATTCGCAAGGCTGTAAATTTCCAGAGCAAAAATTTCAGAAAAATTCTAGTCAGAAAATTTTCCCACTGATATTTTTCAAAAAAAACTTCAGAAAACTTCCAGCCAGAAAATTTTTCACTGGTATTTTTCAATAAAAAAAATTTAAAAAAATTTCAAGACTCAAAATTTTCCACCAAATAATTTCAAAAAATTGTAGCCGAGAATATTTTTAGAGAGGAATTTTCAGAAAAAAATTAAGAAAAAATATTTTTGATCTACCCCAAAAAAATTTCACGGGAAAAAATTCTGAAAAAAAAATCAAAACTAGAAAAAGGGTTAGGTAAAATAGGTCATTTCTGGTTGAATTGATTTGGCGCAAAAGAGTCAATAATATAATATGTATATTGGGAGAAGAAAAAACCTTCGATTTAACTAGTTTTGGGTGGCGGGATGAATGGAAAGTAAAAAGGGGAGAAAAAAGAACGATGTGGGGGGAGAAAGAAGGATATGTGACCTCTTCTGCGTCTCTATCATCCCTCTTCAATATCTTTTCCTTTTCCTCGTTCGAGTTTAGACCATTCGCATAAATAAAAATGAAAAATGGAAATATTATATGAATATTGGAGGATTAGAGCAAATCTAGTCCAAAAAAGAGCAAAGAGAATGGGAGGAGGCAAAAGAGAACACAAATTGAATTTTTTATTTTGAAAGAGAGAGAGAGAGAGAGAAAAGGGGGATTAGACTATGCTGGTCAGTTTTTGAGTGAATTAGATTGATGAGAATTTTGTGCATAATTTCTATTTTGTCCATATGTACTTGGAAAGGCACAAAAGTTATTTATGTTTAGCTATTATTGTGAATGACCTATGCATGTTCCTTTGAAAAAAATTTGATCTACAAAAACTTGCTATTATCGATTGATTAATATCCTAAAATTCAGAAGTTTGGAATTTTTCTTTAAAAAAAACTTCTATAAACCCGCAGAAATTTGATCTACAAACATATTGCAAAAAAGGTAGATCAAAACATATTCACCAAATCCAGAATCAAAATTTATTTTTTCAGATCTCTATAAAATCTTTTGAAGGTACTGTTAACATCGAAATCTCTACAAGCTTTATAAATTTTTTTCGTTAAAAAAATTGATCTACATAAAATTTTTAGAATTGTTTCCCCAACAGAAAAATGTACCTTTCAAAATTATTTTCCTTTAAAAATGCTCTTTTTTCTTCAGATTTTTGAATTTCTACTTCATTTCATATTCAAAACTTTTCAAAAATTATTTATTTATTTTTAAGTATGTTCAGAGTTTTTTTTAAGTGGGAAAGAAAGAATGAATGTCAAGTGGAACGCTCTGTTTTTTCTCGATTTTTTGCTTTTTTGAGGATGATGAAACTTTTTTCCTGAAGACTTGGAAGAGAAACTGAAATTCTGGAATTTCAGACAAACCTCTCATTTTTGATTATGAAATTATAGGGTTCAGGAAAATTTATGGCACTTTTTCTGGTGGAAAAACACATTATTTCAGGTATAGGAATTTGTGAATTTCAAAATTCTAATAGGAATTTTTCGTACAGAAAATTATAGGATTCAGAAAAATTTATGACATGACTTTTATAATCATGTACATTTTTCTCGATGTAAAAAATTTCAAATTTTTTCTAGATCAAGTTATTTTTCTAGGAGTTTTCTTGGATTTATAGAATATATTTTCAGAAACATTTTTGATCTACCACTATTTTCAAAAAAAAGTGTCATTTCTCAATAATTTTCCCTCAAAAGACCCCGAAAAACTCACCAATCGATTTGTCGCTTTTTTCAGAGTGGCTTTGATTATGACCCCTGAAAACATGAAATTCAAATTATTTTTCGAAAAAAAGTTTAATTTTTACTCTAAAAAATATATCCTAGGCTATAGGTGGAACAGTATAAATATTTATTTAAGTAGCTTATTTGACAACACAAACTATTTTGGTCTATTTCTATTTGTATGTGAACAAAAAACTTACATTTTTCCGCGTGTCAATTGTATTGTATTTTTAGCAAAAGTTCATTTGAATTTCTGAAAAAAAATATTTTTAAAAAATTTTCAGGAAAAATGCAACTATTCGGAAAAAGTGAGTAAGGCAGCGACGAAAAAAAACAAAAAAGACGAGAGAACGCCAAATAATGGGGGGAACAAAAAGAGACTGGCTGGTTTGCAGAGGGGGTGAAAGGGAATTTATGCGAATGGAGCGCGTTTGCAACCGCCAAGCCGCTTTACTTTTGCGACTTTTTTTTGTTTGTGTGTTGGCTTGGGTGAAGCGATTTCTGGTAAAATTATTATTGAAAAACTTCGGATTTTCTTGAGAAAAATTTGAGATTCTGGATAGCATTTTGAATTTTTTGGGCAGTCTCCTTACAAGGAAACCTTTTTTACTCAACACTTCAAATCATGATAAAATTTGGTCCATGGACAGCTTTTGGGACCATAAGAACACCCTAAAAATTTTAGTCTCCCAATGGACCTCTGAGCCAAGTTATGGGCTCTCAAAAGTTCAAAAATTGCCAAAATTGGCTCATAAAACACGTCATAACTCAATTTTCGATCATTTTTATCAAAAACTGAGTAGCAGATGATGATCAGCGTGGGCGATTTACCCAAAAAGCATCAATAAATCGAATTTTCAGAAAAATTTTTGATTTTGAAAAAAATAATGGGGCACATATGAATTTTCAGCTCAAAAATAAAAAACTTCAAAATTTTTCGAAATAAAGTTTTTTATTGATGTACTTTTAGGTAATCGACTATGCTGATCAATATCTGAAACTTCATTTCTCCAAAAAAAAATTTTGAAATGGAGCTATGATGACTTTTATGACCATTTTTAGACCTTTTTTGAACTTTTGAGAGCCCAGAACTTGGCTCAGAGGTCCATTGGGAGACTGAAATTTTTAGGGTGTTCTTATGGTCCCAAAAGCTGTCCATGGACCAAATTTCATCATGATTTGAAGTGTTGAGTAAAAAAGGTTCCCTTGTTAGGGTTTTACAAGTCCTTAGGATGTTAAGGTAGAGATTAGGGTTAGACACGTTTTTTGGGTGTTGAGCTAGACCTAAGCGTTAGGCAAGTTCTCAAGATGTTTAGCTAGACTTCAGGATGTTAAGATAGACCTTCCGATAAGGAGTTAAGCCTGATCTTAGGATGTTAACCTTAGTGTTAGGCAAGTCCTTAGGATGTTAAGGTAAACCTTGAGATGTTAATCATGATCTTAGGATATTAAGCTTGACCTTAAGATGTTAAGCTGAATCTTCAGATGTCAAACTAGACCTTAGGATGTTAGGCTAGATTTTAAGATGTAAAGCTGAACCTTGAAATGTTAAGCTTAACCTAAAGATGTTTAGTTAGACCTTTGGATGTTAAGCTAGACTTTAGGATGTTAGTTTTGGGTCCTCATAATCCAGATTTTTTCAACCTAAAAAATATCTGATTCTAGCCGAATCTCGTTAAATTCCAAAATTTCAACCATCATTTGATTCTCAACCGTTTTGTTTATTTGTTTATTTTCAAGTGTGGCAGAAGATGAGAAAAAAAAATTGAAGCCGCTTTTGTTTTTGTTCTTCCAAAAAAAAAAATCCAATAGTCGAGCGAAAAAAAATAACATTTTGGAACTTGGCAGTTGTATACATAAACACTTTTGTTTTGTTCTTCTTTGCCAATTTTTTTCAAAGCAAAAAAAATAGCCAATAAATTTGTTTTTGGAAACTGAATTTGAGAAAATGTGTTGAGAAATGATAAAATAGAAATCTCTGAAAGGCCTGAAAAATTGAAAAGCCTTCTTGAAAACAAAAAAAAACATGAGATATTTTGAAAAACAAATTTGTTAGAAAAACTCATGGGAAAATACACATTTTCACACCATAAGGGAACAAAAAAGAGAAACAAAAGAAAAACGGAATGTTCCCAGCCTCGAATAAATGGGAATGTACTACTAGTAGTAGTAGGAAATGAATGTAGGAATGTGTGTAAACAATGTTTCATCGTATTTTTTCTTTCTGACTACCGCCGTTGGCAATTTTTGGCGGGAAAAAAGAAAAATGCACGGAAATTTTGAATTTATTGGAATATTTTTTTGGGAACGAGGATGAGATTCATGATATAGATTTTGAAGATAAGCAATCTTGTGGCTGAAATTTCAGATTTCTTACAAAAAATTTTGCAAATTTCAAATTCAAAATAAAATCTTTAAAAAAATTTCACAAAAAAAGAAAAGAAAATCGTTTTCAAGGAGAGGTCAGAAACCTATAATTTCAAAAAAAAAATCATAAAATTTAAAAGCACCCTATAAAAATATTTCGAACGTGGCAAAATTCTTTTTTTTTTGGAAAACTGGATTTTTTGGTACTTCAATTGAAGTCTGGAAAACTCGAAATTCAAAAATATAATTATTGAAAATAGACTTAAATTCTAGGCCAGTTTTCAATCCAAAAATAGTTTCCAAGCAACAAAATTTCAGAGGAAAAATCAATTCAATAATCAATTTCTCTAGTGTCCGCCCTGATAATATCATGTTCTTTCACAATTTATAAATATTTAGATAACCTTTTTACAATTTCGAAACATTTTTTTTGAAAAAAAAAACAAAAATGAGTCATTGAAGACTTACCCTAAGTCTAGCTTTTAGAATCTTCCTACCAGCAACAAGAAAAAAAAATCAAAATACAAAATCAGCCCATTATATTTTTTCAAAAATTTTTTTTTGAATATTTGGATAACCTTTTAGAAATATGTACAACATAAAAATTTCGATTTCAAAAAAAATTTTGCCAATCGAAAAACAAAAAAAATGAGTCATTAATTTCAATCTGCCTCCCATGCTGCTCACAAAGAGAAAAAATGCTGCCCTCGTTTTCTCATTCTATGAATTAAAATAAGAAGAACCAGGTGGTGCACGTGTTTATGTCATTTTTTATGACTCGAAGATTTTTTTAGAATAAAAAATAAAAATTATATTTGATTCGAGATAGAGAGAGCAAAAATTTTATTACGAAAATATTGTGAAAAATATTTTATTTATCATTAAAGTGCAATCGGATTAAAAATTTTAAGCGTGATAAAATGAATGTATTGGAACGCTTTTGACACATTTTGGAAGAGAAATGATAATTTTTGGGGGTATATTATATTTTTTTTTCAAAATAAAAATTTAAAAAAATGTTTAGAAAATGGATGAAAATACTTGTACTCTGATTATTCAACATGAATATAATATATATGAATTAATTAATGAAATAATTAATGCAAAAGGCAACCAGTTTAGCTATAAACAGTAATAAGTTGTTCGTATTGTGAATCGATAACCGAGTCGATATGCTCAATAATTGGTTTTGTTGTGCAAGTCCAATTTTGTTCGAAATTATTTCGTTGTTGCTCGTCGTCTAATTGAGTCAAAGTTTGAGCATTTTCTTCTTGTTGTGCTTCTTTCAATTTTTGTCGTTCTTGTTGGCGATACCAAACATTTCCACCGTATTTTGAGACGGGGATATCGGCGGCTTTGGCGATCATACATTGAATTCGCTTGGCGAAATCGACGTTGTCTTCTCCGATGTTTCGAGTTTGCATCTCTGGAAAATTATGGGATATTTGGGTAATTTTAAAAATGAATATAGAAGTTAAGGCTAAAAGAGACCGTGATTCGAAATCAAAACTCTTCAAACACCTTTGGAGGTCTCTAACTCATCTGAAAATCAAGTTTCACGGCAGTTTATCAAATACAGTAACTGTAATAGCATTTTCCAGATGAATCAAAATTTGAATTTTTCTGAATCACGAAAAATTATTCCAGAAACATTAAACAATTTTTTGAATCTTGAAAATCCCCAGATGTGGACTAGAAAACCAAATATCTCTGATCAAAGGAGCCGACAAAGTTTACTGTATTTTTGTTTTTCTCTTCCACAGTTCTTTTTGAAATTCATAGTTTTCTCTGAAAAATTTTAAGTTTTTAGTGAACTAGATTTTCAGATCAGTTACAGATTTCTAGAACGCGAGTTTTCATAAAACATTGATTTCCAGCTGAAGTTAGAAGAACTTCTAGGTATTCAGCCCTGTAATAAAATCTTACCAAGATATTGAATATCATAGACCAATGCCCATCCTGTCATTGATCTCAAAAGATATGTGTGGAACTCATCCTCAAACCAGAAACCATCGCCATATTCTGGATTTTGTCTGCAATAATAAAATTCTCAATTCATTTTTCTCCAACTTCCGCTAACTCACTTAATAGCAACTGGATAAATATTAATACCATCTTCAAACGCAGCTTTTCTAAATTGCAAAACTTGTGTGTTATTTGAACAATAACCTTCTGGGAATAATAAAACTGGACCTTCTTCCTGTAAGGTTGTAAACTATTTATTGTTTTTTTCTCGCTAAATGTAAGCTCATCACTCACTTTTGCGATTCGCAGAACATCTGCCAAGAAATTTTGTCGTTCGTTGCTGTTTTTACGTTCTAACCACAAAGAGGGACACAGCTTTTCGACAAGATGTTCAATGAGGCCTGAAATGGCGAATCGAATTGAATATTTATGTGTGGATGTGTTTGATTTTATTGTCATTTAGGAAATATGTTTTTGTTGTGGTTAGGTTTGGATTTTATGATGAGAAAGAGGGGATGATTTTGAGAAACTCATTTTTAAAAAATGGGGGTGAAAAAATAATCTAAAAATCCAGAAAAAAATTCGAAGATTAGTCTCAGATTCAAAATTGGTTGGACAACCTTAGAATCGGCCCGATATCCGATTTTGTGAGTTCGATTCAAAATTTGACAAAAGTGTATTGAAAACTATTTCTTTAATGGATTTCAAGAAGGTTGCTCCAGATGGAAATTACAGTAAACTTTTGACTTAAAACTGTTTTGTTGAACTTTTCAGAAATACGAAACCAGCACGCCAATTTCTATGTAATTTAACACCTAACATGAGCAATGCGTAGAAAAATTTTAGAATCTGCAGTTCGTAGTAGCTCTAGCTTGCTTCAGGTTTTTTTTTTTGAAAAAATTGCACCTGTTTCGATTCCGCGAGCAGATTCAAAAACATTTTTTGAGAAATTTTTGAAGTTTTGAATGAAAATTTGATGCAAGAAATATTCGGAGTACATTTGACATTTTTACAAATTTTCTAGGAACTTTTTTTCGGGAATTTTTCTATTTCAGAGATACCCTAACTTCCAATACAGTTTTTGTTTACTCACCAATAATTCCAACATGTTTCTGTCCAGTCACAACATATCCATAAGAGCTACCATGCGGTGTGCCAGCAAACAAAATCTGAATATCATTTGGTGTCAAATGATTAGCCACCGCAACTCCAGGTTTTCTCGGGCGATTTTCCATATTTTTATAGCTCGCAATCAATCCCATTCCAGAACAGAACAAACGGCAATAAACAATTGCTACCCAGGTTTTCTCGATGTTTGTTAATTTCTGAAAAAAAATATTTATTTTTTTTTTTGGTTTTTTTTCAAAGATTCTCCAAAATTCTTACTTTAACCGATGCATAGAATCCAGCAATGGCAACAAAAACAAAAGACGAGACAAGAAGAGCAATTCGAACCGGAAGAAGGAATGAAACTCTGTAAAAAACCCGAATTTTTTGTTGTATGCACTTTATCTTTATCATTCAATCAATCATAACATTGATATATGAATCAGAACACAATCACAATCATATTTACTTTTTCATGTCTTTGAAATATATATTTTTGTTGACACTGACCTGAATAAGAGGCATAGATAGAAAATCGCAGTTTGGAAAGGGCTCCAGTGGGCGAGCGGTTTGAGACGGAGTAATGTTTCGTGTCTTGATGGAGCTGTTGAGAAACATGATCCAAAATCACCCTGGAATATGAAGGAGGATTTCTGGGGATTGGAAATAGAAGAGGAATTGGGGTGGATTCAAATAGAAACAGGAAGATAAATGTTCTGAAGAAAACATTTCCGAGACTTCAATTTTGAAAAAAATCGTCAGTTTTTTAAAAGTAAAATCTGACTTGAGCTATATTTTTATTGATTGAACTTTTGAATTTCTGAATTGGATAATTTCAAATCAATTCAGATTCAGAAATATTTGAACTCTCCCGATTTCTTGAATCTAATTTGACCCTCAGAATTTCTGAACCTCTTGAACACTTCCAGAATTTGAAAGATTCTGTGATTTTCCTAGCCAATCTACCCCAATCTCTATGAACTCACATTAACAATTGAATCCAAACCACTCTCGATTGTCTTGACTGGAAATTCCATAACATCTTGACTATCATTTTCATCGCTCTAAAAATTTGAGGATTATTTTGAAGAAACTTGTATTTCAAAACTAACTGAATGATGTTCTTGATATTTGCGAGGTTCAACATATTCAATTGGATCTGGGAAACATGCCTGAATTCTAGAGACCAATTGGAGATAGAGGTGTGGAAGTCGACCCCAGCTGAAAAATCAATATTTTTTTTAAATGAGCAACAAAGAACTCACTTTAATCCACAGAAAATTAGGGTAACTGTCGCGAGAAATGCGCCAATCACAATACTCAGATAAAGGTAGAGAATCCCAAGAAACATTGCTGAAAAAATATTTAATTGATTTATTTAATATAAAGTTGAAAAAATAGAAACAAAGATGGTTTGCAGAACAAAAAAAAGGTAAAACCTTTTTATCAATGATATGAATTGTTGTTATTTGATTTATTGTAGACGGATTTACAAGAACAAAAATGAAAAAGGGATTGATGAAATAAGAAAATATGTATGGAATGGAAATGGGCAGATCAAAATATGAGCGAATGATGTGATTTATCGTTATATAAGAAAATATAACAAATAGATTATATTTTATGTGAGAATTTTGTTTTTTTTTGTCGTTGGTACAAAATCATCAGATAAAAAGGGCAGGCAGAATTTATACAGAACCAAAAAATAATGAGGGTGGAATAATTGAAAATGAAAATTTCAGAAATATTCAAATAGCACCAAATATTTTTTAAAAGAAAATCTGGAGTTAGGAAATGCTTTTTGAAGAACATTTTTAACAATTAATTAAGGTTAAGGTAGAAAAATAAATTTAAAAAAAATATCGAAAAACAATATTTCTCCCGAAAAATGAAACCCTTAAGCCACCAAAAAAAACACAAAGATCCTAAATACTTGCACCCAGTACATTTCCACCCAGACACCCAGACACACAAGAAAAAACACGCCGATATTTGATCGATCTTTTTTTCTTCTTGTTGATGGCTATCTGCTCTCAATGGTCCCTTTTTCTCTATTTTTTGTCTCTCATCGATTAATAAAAAACACTTGGATCAGGGTAAAAATAACACTGATTATCATACATTTTTTTTACATTTTCACATTTTTCAAAAAAAAAAATTGCATTTTTGAGATTAAAATTTGTGACCTTGAGTGAGTGAACTAACCAAAATAACAAGGAACAAGCGAGAAAAAGTGCAATCAAATCTGATTTTATCAAATATGAATGGCTAACAATTGACATTATCAATTGACTTTTATGATGTTCAAATTTAATAGATTGTGCTCCCGGTTTTTATTGGAACTTAAATACAATATAAAAATTTCGGGAAAAAAACGAGTAGAGAAAAAATGAATGTAATTTTACCGCAATGATAATTTCATGGTTTTTTCGAGAAAAAAAAATTCAGGACTAATTTTAGACTTCAGAAGCATCTTCAGATCTTCAAAATTATGTTATGAACATTAAAAAATATGCTAGTAAATCTCAAAAAAAAACAAAAACACTGATAAAAATATTTCAAATTTTTTAAATTGACCTCTCTTTCTCTCTCTCTTTTTAGAGGGTCTAAAGATAACCATGTGAAAAAAAAAACAATGATCAATAAAATGAGTCATAGGGCAAATATATATTTTCTAGGGCATCGATGTTTTTCATGGTAGGGAAAAAAGTACACACAGACAATCGAAAAAAAAAATAGTTTTTTTCTCAAATAAAAATAAAAAAAGTCTTGTTGAAGAATCTTTGTTCTTCAATGAAAGTGGGGTGAGAGAACACTTTTTGAAAAAAATGATGAAAACAATATTTATTTTTGGATGTTTTATTTTATAAACATATAATCAAGAAATAGAGAGAGAGAGAGAAAAATAAGTCAGTGAAACAAAAGTGATCAGATCAAGTTATGATATGAGCAACATCAAAACTTGATTTATAAAAGATTTTTTTTCTTTTTTTTTCCGCTATCATTTTCGGGGAATCACCACATGTTTTTTGATAACAAACCTTATCGCGAAAAATAAAGAACACAGATATTCTCTGCTCCCAAGTTCTTTGATAATCGATTTCATAAATGGAGGGAAAAATGGTTTTGTTTGTTTAGAAAATGTTACAAAACATAGAACAAATCATGATTTTTTATTTGAAAAGACAAAAAATGTTTTAGGAATTTGGGAGAAAATATGGGATACAAAAACTTTGTAAATTGAGGTTCCATTGATTTTTCATAACTTCAGAATTTTTTATTGAAAATACAGAAGCTCAAAATCTACAGTTAATTGTCTGAAAATCAACTGGAAGATGTTCATTATTATTGATTTTTAAAAATTTCATAAAATTTTCAAAAATGGTTTTGTTTGTTGCAACATGATACAAAACATAAAACAATCATTTTTTCCAAGAATTTCTGGCCAAATATTTTTGATTAAAAAAATTTCTCAATGGTTTTTGGGAATGTTCATAGAGTTTTTCACGCTCTCAAAAAATACTACAGAAAATAAATACTACAAAAAATTTTGTGCTCAAATAGAACTTTTTTGAGAATTTTCTGAACAAAACGTCCAAAAATGCCATTGTTTGTTCAAAAAAATGTAACAAAACATAGAACAAATCATATCATATTTTATTTTCCAATAAATATTTTCTCCCGAAAAATTCCTGGTCAAAGGGCATACGAAAAATCCAATTTTTTATAGTACAAAAAATACAAAAATCACGCGTTTTCAAAAAATTAATATCTACATACATACATTAACAAAAATTTTATTGTTTTTTTCAACTTTCATTATAAGGTGTGAAATGAGAGGACACGCTCTTTTATGACATTTTTCGTGATAACAAAATTCCAAGGGTCAAGGTATGAAAAATTTCGAGGTAGAAAATTGGAAATGTTTTTTGGGTGGCCGGGGGCTAAAATCTGAGTTTGAGAATGGAACAAAAACAGATTTCAATGTTCAGTTTTAGTTTAGAAAATCAATTTTTTGTGCAGAGGTAATTGTATTCGGTGGAGAAAAGAAAAAAAATTGGTTTGGGTTGAAAAAGTTTAGATTGAACAAAGAAAGAGCAGTGAAATTTTGAATGAAAATTGAAAATTGTGAATTTTCTTCTTGTATCATATTTCAGTTTGTTTCGTAAAAAGGACCAATTAATATTTCTAGAAATAATTTTCATGTTGGAAAAAGGAAAAAGGAGCTTTTAAAATGTACAGAAATTTCAAAACACAAAAAAAAACAAAAAATGAATACATATGACTTTCGAAACCTGAAAATGAAAACTCAAATTGACATTTTTCGAAAAATTACATTTATTGTTTGGATGATTTCATAATACAAAATTTCAAATTTTCTTGATTTTACATTTTTTTTCTAAAATTATTTTGAAAAATTGTGAACAAGGTTGAAGTTTCATTAAAATTTGAACTGACTAAAAAAGTTGAGAAAAATAATTTGAGTTAAAAAAATTTCCTGAAAACATTTGCTGGTTCTAAATTTAGAAAAAAAAAACATGGGAACAAAGAAATGTGTATTTTCAATGGATATTGTTTTTCAAAACATTTTTTGTTGTTTTCGATTTTTTGTAAAAAAAAAGAACTATGGTCAAAACTAAAGTAAACATTTCTGGAAAATCCTGATCGGGGCTGAGTTACAGGAATTCTAAAATAGCTGCATTTTTCATCAAAAATCAGATCTTGAGGACTTGAAATTTCACGTTTCAGATCAACCACTAACCTTCATTTACCTCAATTCCATTTTTTCAGACAACATAAAACATCAAATTTCGTGAACCACGGATGAATGTGATGAATTAGAGCATTTTTTTCATAAATCCCTTAAAAGTGCACCTCCATTTTTTTCTCAGACTAGGAAGAAGAAAAGATTATCATCTTTTTTTGAAGTGTGGTGTGCTCTTCAAATTCTTATATATATTTTTTGGAATTAAAACTTCCAGATATTTCGGTAGTTAGTGTAACTTTGAAAACTCCTTTTGAAATATATGTATTTATTTTGAACACCACATAAAATGGAACAAAAAAAGAACGTTAATGTGTTTTTGTTGCATCCTGAACAATTTCATTGTTTTGTAAAACCACAGGAAAATTCGCATAAATCAAACCCTACAAACCAACCAGCCAATATGTATGAATGTCTACCCATTTTCATTTCACCTTTTTTCGAAAAAAAATTCGAAATCCCATTTTTCTTGGTGGTCTTTTTGAATTAATTAAAATTCTCGTTAAATGTAACAACTTTTTTCTCGTTGTTGTTGTTGCGATTTGAAAAAAAATGATGGATAAGTTTTTGGTTTTGATTCCAGTGGGATTTTTGTTTTTCAGAAACTTAAATTCATCAAATTTATTTTTGCAGATTTTTTTTGCGAACTGGAATTTTTTAAGATTTCTAGAAGTTCCGTTTTCCTGGTTTCTGAAACCCCTAAAAGTTCACTGTTTTGGCAGGTGGAAAAGGTATAAATCCCTGAAATAATTTACATCAGTTTAAAATTTATAATGATTATTTAATTATTAATTTGAAATGCGTCATTAAATTGTTCCCTCAAGTGAAAATCTGATTCATCTGAACTAATAGGGGAAAAAATTGTTGCTTTGAAAAAAACATCTTGGACTTCAAAGGTAAATTCTTAGATTTTTGGGAGAATAATTTGCGAGAAAAGCCCTGAAAAAGAAAAGTTTGTTGGGATTTTGTGAACTTTTCTACGTCCCTTTGAAAATTTAAATCATTCTTAAAACCCTAATTTCTGAAAAATGTACCATCACCTTAACTTTTTTGCACTCAGAAATATTTTAGGAAATTTTAAATGTTTATTTTTCATTAGGTTGTTCACAAATATAGGCTTCAATCCTTGAAATTTAAGATTCATGATACTTTTATGAAGGTTCTGAACTTAAAAATTTTCAAATCCAAAAAAATTTCAATCTCTGAAATGTTTCAGTTTGAAATTCGTCACGCCTCTCATTGAAAATCTGAATTCTTTTTGCTTTTTTTTTCCATCTCTAAACTTTTTTGAAAAAAATTTTTGTTTATTTACAAATACATGTTTCAATCTTCAAAATCTTCCAGTTTCAGATTTATCATAACTCTTATCTGAACTCTTTCTGCCCTCAAAAACCCCTAAACTTTTGTGCAGTGTCATTCCTGATTTGTGTGTGTGTGTGTGTTATTTACAAACAACGTCGAATTGTTGTTGTTGACCGAACGTTGCTCTCTTTTCTGCCCATTCTATTTTCAGAAGGACGTACGTGCTCCAAAATAGTCCGTGCGTCCGTTTATTTTTTCAGTGCTAGCCCGCCTATTGGAACGGC